AGGGCATTGCACTTCCCTGATGCAGGAGACAGCATTGACTCCAGAGAAGCAGCAACAGTGAAACTAGGAACTAGAGCATGGGGCAGAATGGTAAACTTCCCAGCCCACAGAGCAAGTAATGCTGACAGCTTTTGAACAGGACACTGGTTCATGGAGTGGGCTGACTCTGGGCACATAACTGGGGAAGCTGGGTTTAATAGTCCACAGAGCTGGCATTGAATGCCTTCAGGTTGAGGCTAATAGTGGGGTGGCATGCCTCTGAGACATTTATAACACTGTAACACTGAAGAACAGAGTAAAGACCAGGCCAATAGGCTAAGAGCCAGAAGAGATGCCTGCCTGTGTATCCTGAGCATTTCTCACCTGAATTGTAACCTGATAAATTCCCTAATAAATCTAAAGATTATGTGCATAGTCTGTGAGTTCCGTGTGGCTACTGCAATGAGGTATCCGACCTAGCAGAAAAGTAGAGTGTGCTTGGACAGGTCAGGCAGTAGGAGGAATGATTGGTTGGTGTCAGAATAGGGTTAAGAAGGACAGAGGATAGGAGCATGTCTGATCTCTGCCTTATGGCAATCAGCCTTAGGAACCAGAGGTCAGATATGACCCAACGTCACCATTACTTCATCACATACAGGAAACTCCTTAGTTCTCAGCAAGCCACCAGAGTTGGTCTGGTGGATGGGACTTGGGTGCAGGGCGGGGCGCAGGGGAATATGCCTCTATAAGCGGTGGTTCTCAACCTTCCTAATGCCACGACCCTTAAATACAGTTCCTCATGGTGGGTGTCCACCCCCAACCATAAAATTATTTTCATTGTGACTTCTTAACTGTAATTTTGTTACTGTTTTGAATCAGGCAAACCCTGTGAAAGGGTCGTTCGACCCCCCAACAGGGTCGCGACCCACAGGTTGAGAACCACTGCTCTATAGGGAAAGGAAATTGGCAGAAAATAAGGTCTAAGAATTTGTAAATATGATGAGGGTAAAGAATGTAAAAATGTGCTTTATACAATTGATGTATATATGGATTGTGATAAGAGTTGCATGAGCCCCCAATAAA